CTGAACTCATAAGGCTCTCACCGGGGCTTTCATGGGTGGCTTGCGACCAGAAATTTTAGAAAGTCTCCGCCTTTTCCGTCTCGATTCCTTGAAGGAGGCCATTCGGCTAGCTCGAATCCGGGACGAGCAACTGCGAGTCTGCGACGCATGAAGACTCCTGCTAAGCCGGCTCTGCGAGCGGAAATGGACGGAGGAAACCGTCAGTTTGAGGATCCCCCACCTCCGCGGCCTCACACTCAACCGGCTCGTCGAATTCCATGGTAAGAGCAGCCTAAGGATTATGCATAATTGTGCGGAGCACCCTTAAGTTTGTGCATGTTGGTGCTAGCAATCTAATTAGCCACCTTAACCTAGCTTAGAGAGGAAAATCCCCCTTCCAAGGGAGACTCAATTGAGTTAGTTGATACTCAATTGAGTTAATTTTCCTTCAACTTTCTAAGCCACCTAACTAGGTTAATTGAGGGCAACCCTCAGTGTTGAATTAAGCAAATAGGTTAATCGTGATTAAGTCGTCCGACCTTTGATTTGAGTGAGGGAGTTAGTCAACTACCGATTGCCTAAACCGAGAGGGTCGAGTGACACGGCCTTTATGTTTACCTCGGTTTAGCAATTGAGATTCTGGTCTCCGACCATATATGCATCACTCTGCGGTTCACGACTACCTTGCCCAAAACAATAACTCAAATTCACATATCATGGTAGTAGTTAGGGGGAAGCGACACCCGAGTGATCCTTCCACAAAAGAGTTTCCAAAACCATTTACCTTTGTCCTGTTTTATTAAAATTAGCAAACTTTTCAACCAAAACCTTGTTGCTAGATAATGATTAAAACAACTGAAGTAGCGGTAGACGGACCGGCACAGTTTGATATATAAATACTTGCTCTATACTACACCCGGCTAGAGTTTAAAAACTTACTCTAGTCGGGATTTTATTGTGGTGTAGTTTCGTGCAAGTCAAGTTCTTGGGACCGTTGCCGGGGACAACGGTCTGTTATCTTGAAAAAAGTTTTTGGTTGTTAATCTAGCTTTTATTTTCTAGTTTTGCAAGTGTGTGTGCTTTGCTTGTGCTAGACTTGGTTTGTTTTCCGATTATGTGTAGGTGGTGCATGACCCGGAGTAACCCGACAGCTTTGCCACCGCTTGACGAGGACATAAACCAATCTCTCCGGCTCCTAGCACGGGAGAGGGAGCTAGCGGAGGCAAGGAGAAGAATTGAGAGAGGGGGACAGCGTTTAGGTCCCGGTGTTAGTGGAGGAGAGGTTGAAGAAGTGGATGTTCAACCCGTCGTTGAAGTAGTAATGGCGGGGAACCAAAGGCAAAATGGCGCTCAAGCCCGCCAGTTGAACGATGCGGTGGAGGAGGAGGATGCCCTGAGGACGATGGGGGTACTATATGGTCCCAAGGCCGGCGGGCATTCAATCTCCAATCCTGCATCCTCCAGTGGCGGCAAACAATTTCGAGATCAAGCTGGCTCTAGTGACTATGATACAAAGTAATGCTCTATTCCACGGCCTTGAGAGCGAGTCACCAAGAGAGCACGTGCAGAGATTCTTTGAGCTCGCGGGGAGCTTGAAAATTAATGGTGTGCCGGCCGAAGCTTTGCAACTAAGGCTTTTCCCATACTCACTCTCGGGGAAAGCACTTAGGTGGCTAAACAACCGCCCACCTCGGTCAATCACCTCATGGGACGACCTCCTCAACAAGTTTATGGCTCGTTATTCCCCACGTTTCGAAGTCGGCGGAGTGGAGAAAGAAGATTACACACTTCGAGCAAGAAGAGGATGAGACCTTGAGGGATGCTTGGGAGAGGTACTCCGACTACTTTTTTCAGTGCCCTCACCACGGGTTTGAAGAATAGTTCGGGATCGAAACCTTCTATGGAGGCCTAATCCAAGAAGATAAAATTCTCATTGACTCCTTGTGTCAAGGAAAATTGATGAATATGGCTCCACCCCAAATAACCGAGATACTTGAAGACATGGCCTTTAGGGGATACGAATGGGGGTTGACTAGAAGTGGAAGAAGAAGCAATGAAAGGGGAGTGAGAAGCGTGGGAGCGAGTGCTCCGCTTGAGGCAAAGTTGGATAAGTTGATAGAGGTTGTGCTTGAAGATAAGAGGCAAGGAAAAAGGCCGGTAATGTCGTGGGACTGGTGCTCGAGCACTAGCCATAAGATGGCGGAGTGTCAAGCAATAAAGGAGGCAATTACTCCGGAGGAGCAAGTCAACTTCGTGGCAAATGCTAGGGTTCAACAACCCGTATAGCAATAATTATAACCTCGGATGGAGGAACCACCCCAACTTTGCTTGGGCATCACCGACAAATCCGAGGCCCCCAGGTTTTCAAGGCCCCACGAGAAATTTCCAACCTCGGCCGACCTTCATCCAACAAAGGCCCCAACTTCAAGGATCAAGCTTCCAACAATCGTACCAATCACAAGGTGCCCCAGGGGTTCAACAAAAACATCCCGAAAAACTATCTAAGCTTGAAGACCTAGTGAACACCTTTGTGAGTACGAGTAACCAAAAGTTCGAAAAGATAGAGCAATTTACGGATGTGGCGACTACAAAGTTTACCTCGGTTGAGGCAGGTCTCCGAAGCCATCAAGCGAGCCTCCAAAGTTTGGAGGTGCAAATCGGCAACCTTGCCGGCATCCTCACCGAGAGATCCAAGGGAGCTTTACCTTCCCAAACCGTGGTGAACCCCAAGGACCACGCCGGGTAAATGCACTTCAAGTGAGGAGTGTGAAGGTGGTTCCGGAAGTCGCCACTAATAAAGTTATGGAGAAGGAAGATACCAACAAGGAAGAGACCAACCCAAAGAGGGGAGAAGGGAAGCCCTCGAGGAATGAGAGGAAGGCGGCGAGGAAGGCATTGCCGGAGGATGGATACACACCACCTCTTCTTTATCCCACAAGGATGTACAAGGAGAGGTTGGGGAATGAGTGTGGAGGTTTCATGGAAATGCTCCTCAACCTCCACCTCAACATCCCCTTCATTGAAGCCATGGCTCAAATGCCAAGATATGCCAAGTACCTCAAAGGATTCCTTACCAAGAAGCCAAAGCTTGAAGGCCTCGCCAACGTGACTCTTGGCGAGGAGTGTTCGACTTACCTCCTCGACCGCTTCCCCAAAGGTCCGACCCAGGTAGCTTTACTATCCCTCTTGATATTGGTGACCATCATATAGACAATGCCTTGGTGGACCTAGGAGCTAGTGTTAATGTGATGCCCTACAAGCTTTTCAAAAAGTTAGAAGTAGGTGAACCTAAGACCTCTAAGCTTAGCATCACCTTAGCCGACCATTCGGTCATTAGCTCGAGAGGCATTATAGAGGACATGATGGTGAGAGTGGGCAAGTTTTGCTATCCGAACGATTTCATGATTCTCGACATAAGTGAGGACTCAGTTATGCCACTCATCCTCGGTCGTCCCTTTCTTGCCACCGCCAAGGCATTGATAGACGTTAATGAGGGGCCTTAATTTTGAGGGATGGTAAGGAGAGAATCAAGCTTGAAATTGACCCTAAGGTTAGGAGTGATGAAGTAAAGGGAGTAGTTTCAAATGATGTGAATGAGAGTGGAGGAGAGCCTCTCAAGGCAAACCCCACCATTACTTTTGTTGCTTTTGGTGATGTTCAACAGGAAGTTAAGAAGTGCCCTTTGCCCAAAGGATCGAGGATGAATGCTTGGAGACGAAGGATGAAGAGAGCTTTGGCTCGGAATATGGGGATGCCGAAGCAATGTTGGCCAACCAAGAGGGCCAACTCAAGGAGCCTAAGATGGGAGGCTATAAGCCTCGCCCCGAGAGTGTGGTGGATCCGGTCTCAGTGGCATCATGTTCAAAGTTGTGATCGATCCCCAACCGTCAAGTTAATGAAGATAAATTAGCGCTTGTTGGGAGGCAACCCAACAGAGATTTGTTTTCTTTTCCTTAGTTGTCGTTTTAGTGTCTTGTGAAGAGTTCGAGTGGTGAAGTGGTGTCCCCGTGTCGAGTGTAGTGGTTTTCCATTTTATGGTTGTGTTGGGATCGATTAGGAGGCACGGAGGAATAGGTTGAGTCAAAATTTTAGCAGAAGTCCCTTGTTTTCACTGTTGTTCACGGACGGATTGCTGAGCCGACCACTCCGTGTTCACGGACGCGTTTGAGAGTTCACGGTCGCTAAGACCGTGAACTGGGCAACGCGTCCGTGAACTCCGAGTCATGCCTATAAAAGGGGAGTGAACAAAGACTCTTCACGACCAAATCTCTCAGGAAAATTTCAAATATTCGCCGGAAAATGCGAAACTCCGTCGGTTTTCCGATTTTCCCCCCATTTTTGGCAAGCAAAACCTAAAACCAACGTCGTGCCCAGTCTCCATTCCTCAAAACAGGCCTATGCTGAGATTTTGGGAAGATTTGGAGCACATTTTTTTCGACCAAGTCACTGGCGGCGAGTCTCCGACGAGCTTCCGACGATGTTCCGGCGACCCCTCTCCGGTCAGTTTTCCGACCTTTTTTCACCGTCCTCGCCCGCACCTCACTTCCTCCTACGTCCTACTTGTGTCTCCAGGTTTGTTTTTCGACTTTACCTTTGTGATTTGTGGAGAATCAGATTAGGTAGTGAAGTGAGGTTGAATTTTTGTGCTTTGCATGATTGAATCTAGATTTAGGGCGAGAAATTAGGTGAATTAGGTCGATTGAATGATGGATCGATTTTTGCATGAGCTTAATGAGCCTTGGTGGGCGTGTTTGAACCAGATTGTGTTTATTTTTAGAATTTTCCCACCAAGTGCTATGTCATGAATGCAAGTAAAGTTTATTCTTGTTTGGTGGATGATAGCCACCGTGGTAAGGGTTGTGGTTCAACTTTTTGTGTGCTTGAACTGTGAATTTCCCACAGTCATGCCACGGTGGTTTGAGCTTAAATGTTTGATAACCATAGTGGAAAAACAAGTGTGGGGGAATCTCTTTTCCTCCCAATGAGTATTATTTGATCAATGTTTCCACGTATGGTGTATGCTTCTTCGTTTGTGCAGGATGGTTAACATGGATCACCCATACCTTGTGGCGCTAAGGAGCATCACTGAAATGGAGCGAGAGGCGTATTTTTGGGCATCTTTGAGGGTCGGTAACCATTAGAAACTCGGCTTCCCCAGTTCTTCAGGCTTCACTGCGGTGACTTTATGAGGGAGGCAGTGGTGCACCCACAATGACACCAAGCCCTTGATCTTGAAGATGACACTTACGGGGAGCTATGCGTCGAATTTTTCAGCACCTTCACCATACGTAACAGCCTATGCCTACTCGATCATCCTGTACGTGGGTCGAGTTCCGATTGGGAGGGGAACTTCGCAATTTAAGCCATGATGAGTTAGCCAGAGCCCTCGGAGTGGAAGTCAAACATGAGGACGAGTCGGAGTTTTGTCTTCTAAAGTGAATGCCGCATTTCTGAAGTTTTGTCTTCTAAAGTACCGAAGGACAAAGCTCAAGTCGGCCCTCACAACGACATCCACACTCCAGCCCTAGTGGCGTGTCTTGGTTGCACTCCTGGCTCGTTCCCTCTACTTGACTTAACACAACCCAAACAAGATAACCGAGAGAATCTTATTTTGCATGGCGGACTGGTCTAACACTCTGCACCTGGGTTCAGTCATCGCCACTTCTTTTGCCAACGCCAATTGTGGAAACCGTCGCTATGTCCATCAATGGGTCCGTACATCACCCACCTTGCTAGGTACTTCGATATCAGCCTTGCAGGATGCTCGAAAGAGGGGCGCACCCAGAGATTTGGCGAGGGAACTCTGCACTCCATGCGCTTATTGCGCACCTTTGGCCCAATGTGGTACATCGAGGGATTGAGTGCTGACCCTGAGGTCCCGCCAGCAGCAGAGCAGCCACCTACTCATGCACCCGGCCGCCGCCGCTGCCCAGCGCTCAAGTGCCCTCCACAGCAGCCACCACCACCAGCAGCAGGCGATCCCCTTGAGCTTATGGCTCGACACGAGGGTATCCTACCAGATGCTGGAGAGGGTCCTTCCACCGGAGTGAGGTAGCCGATGAGTGAGACATGTGGCAGAGCGGAGTCCTTTCGCCCGACTTGTCTACTTGTAACCCTGAACTTGTTTTATGTTTTTGTTATTTTTCTTCATTTTGTGTGTGTGTGTGTGACGTAAACAACTACTATGTATTGTTCCTGTAATAACCTCGCCTAGAGCGAGTCGTATTGTGTTTGTGTGTGTTTTTTTGTCTCTCCTTGAAGCTCAAATTATCCTACCCCGCTTGGATTCCAACTTTCACTCACCAAGCCCAAGGAGTAACATCATTCTACCCCTTTCTTATGCCATTGAGGGAAATTTCGAGTTTAAGTGTGTGTGTGTGTGGGGGGGGGGGTGGTAGTTTACTAGTACGCTTGTGTGAGTGTGATTGATGCTTGGAGCCTTTTGTATGCCCGCATTTCAAAAATTTGAGGGCTTCAAGCAAAGTTTGCATGAGCAAAGTGGCCGAATGGTGGGAAATTGTGGTGTTTAGTGGCATTGATCTTGACTTGTTGCATGTGGTCGAGTATATCCTATGATGATGACTAGGAAGTTCATTAGGATAGGGCAAAAGTTTAGTTCTCAGGTGTGCATAAATGAATGGATGTCTTGACTTGATCACTTGTTGCTTACAATTGCCATGCATCGTGTTTGTGAATTGGAATAGATGGTTGGGTAATTAGGTATCCTGTGTGCATTGAGCCGATTGTTTGCTTCCGGTGTGATAGTTCCCTCTTACCACGGTGTGTAGCATCACAGTTGTCACTAGCAAGTATGATGCATGCATAGGATTAGTTCCACAAAAGAGTTTTCAAAACCATTTACCTTTGTCCTATTTTATTACAATTAGCAAACTTATAAACCAAAACTTTGTTGCTAGATAATGATTAAAACAACTGAAGTAGGGGTAGACGGACCGGCCGGGTTGATATCTAAATACTTGCTCTATACTGCACCCGGCTAGAGTTTAAAAACTTGGACTCTAGTCAGAATTTTATTGTGGTGTAGTTTCGTGCGAGTCACAAGGGCTTGGTGCTATCTTAATGCAAGAAGAACGACCTCTTGCGTTCATGAGCAAAGCTTTGGGCACTAACAATTTGGGCTTGTTGGCGTACGCAAAGGAAATGACAGCTATAATTGCGAACGTTAAACTTTGGCGACCGTATCTCCTTCGCCGTAAGTTTTTCATACGAACGGACCAAAAAAGCTTGCGATTTCTCCTAGAGCAAAGAATCACGACGCTGGAACAACAAAAGTGGGTCAACAAACTCCTGGGCTATGATTATGAGACCGTTTACAAACCTGGGCGAGAGAACCAAGCTGCAGATCCACTCTCCCGTCGACCTGTACCACCAGAGGACACCAGTGATAAGCTTTCGTCTACCTTGGGCTTCACACCAGTTGTCTCAGCCAACTTGAAAATTGGGCCAGAATAGCAATTGGGCCCAAATACCTCATGCCTACCCTTCACCATAGTGAGACATACGAGCTATTGTCACTAGCTCTTTCCGCAGCTTCATAGGGGATAATGAAGGAATCTCTGGAATTCTCCACGAGATATTTTCAAAATCCACTCTAGATAATCATGGGAAATCTCCTACCCATTTCAGAACCTATGAGAGGCTCTACAAAAAGTTGCCTTCGAGGATTCCTATGTACATGAAATCATCGCAAAAGCCAACTCTCAAAATCCCGAACGCTACACAGTGAAAGGAGGCATGGATCTTTATGACGATCGTGTGGTCCTCTCCCCAGACTCACCATTGGTGATACAGTTGCTGAAGGAATACCACGCCATGCCTACCGGCGTGCACTCTAGAGTTTGACGGACCTATAAGCGTCTCGCTTCTCATTTTTTCTGGCCGAGCATGTTGGAGACGGTGAAAAGATTTGTTGGCAGTTGTAACGTATGTCAATAGGACAAATCCCTCTCACTGGCACCTGCTAGGCTTCTACAGCCGCTGTCAACTCCAAAACTCATATGTGTGGAGCTTTCGATGGACTTCATCGACAACTTACCTTCATCGGCGGGAAATACAGTCATTCTGGTGGTTGTCGACCGTTTGTCCAAAGCAGCCCACTTCGTTGGTATGTCTCATCCCTATTCGGCAAAGTCGGTGGCCGATGCCTTCATCAATGGAGTTGTCAAGCTTCATGGCATTCCCCGATCGATTGTAAGTGACCATGATCCCGTCTTTGTGAGTAACTTTTGGCGTGAGCTTTTCAGGTTATCGGGAACCACACTAGCCATGTCGTCATCATACCACCCACAAACGGATGGGCAAACCGAGGTGGTAAACCGAAGCCTCGAGCAATACGTCCGATGCTTCACCCACCAACAGCCCCGTCGCTGGATGACTTACCTTCCATGGGCTGAGTTTTGGTACATCATGACGTACCATCGTTCAATTGGAACTAAACCATTCCAAGTAGTCTACGGTCGAGTGCCTCCAGCGATTCCTTTCTATACCAAGTACGGGACTGCCGTCCAGGCCGTGGATCAAGCACTGCTCGACCGCAATGAGGTGTTACAAGACCTGAAGATCAATCTCCAAAACACCCAGACGTGCTTCACAGAAGCTGGCTGCGAGATACCATGGTCCTTATCGCATCACCGAATGCATCGGGCCATTGTCTTATCGGGTTGGGCTACCCGCTGGTTCTCGAGCCCACCCGGTCTTTCACGTCTCGCATCTCCGTCGCTGCACTACACCTGATGCTCCACTCAATACGACCATCTCACCAATTGCTAATGATGGCTCCCTAGACCTCGTCCCCGAGTCCATCCTCGACACTCGCTGGCTGCGTCACAGCAATAATTTCATCAAAGAATCGTTGGTGAAATGGGGAGGCCTGCTGACGGAAGACGCTACCAGGGAGGTTACCTCTGAACTGTTTGATCGCTTTGATGAAGTGAGCCTTGAGGACAAGGCAATTCTTCCTGACCGGGGAAATGATGGGCTAAAGGGACGTAGGGCCCCATACAATGGCCATGCAGAGAGTGTTGGCCCAAAACGTGGCTAAGGGAAGTCCTTTCAAGTTTCGTAGCTGATGCCGACGTAGTGATAGGATTTCCATATTTGATTTGTTTTCACGATTCTGTTTGTTCAGTTTGTTTTCGTAGTTTGCAGGATCTTTTCTTATTTGACTAGGTAGGTAGATCGACTTAGGTGATTCTCCAAATCTAGGAGATCAGAGACTCAATCTTGTGAACTCGATCGCTAGGAATTTCTCCTCTATACAAAGAGGATTGAACTCAATAAGAAGGCGATAGATTATTAACGGAAATATCATAGTACGTACAAAACTGGCCGGTTCTCGCCGTAAGAAGAACGCCATTACACATTTGATTACCAAATTCCAACAAAGAACAAGAGCCACGGTTAGGAAGGTTTGTTTTTTATGGTCAGCCCTAGCATATTTTTAACAATATGGGTCGAGTTTTATTTTTTCGGGTTAAAAAACTCAAGGCATTAACAGTGTGTGACGGATGTTGGCGGTCAATAACCAAAACTGGAATGGTATTTTAATAGAATGACCACTAATGTAATTAAAATTTTAAGTGATAAATGAGAAACAAAACAGTAAACTTTGGAGAGACATCAACAGTTGCTGAATTAATCGACCATGACGACAGATCGTGGAAGTCACATATCTTACAACATCATTTTAATGCAGTGGATAGAGCCAGAATTCAAGGGACCCCAATTCCCAGGCAACCAACACAGGATGAGAGAGTTTGGTGCTTTGAGAAGAATGGCAGGTACTCTGTAAAAACTGCCTACCGACACTGCTTCAAGAAGAAAGTAGAAAAAGAGATACATTGGGAGGAAGTGCCCTTCGAGATTGAGGAACAGGAGATAGAAGTGGAAGAGTATGACCCTATGAATTGGAAGCGCATTTGGAAGCTTACTATTCCCCCAAAGGTAAAGATTTTTCTATGGAAATTGGCTCACAATATACTCCTCACAGGGAAGAATTTGGAGTCCAGAAAGAGGGATGCAAGCCCTAATTGCCCTTTCTGCAACCTAGAGGAAACCCAAAATCGCATTTTCAGGGAGTGTGACTGGGCAGTTCGAATATGGAAACCTACTCCGCTTAGGAAACTATTTGAGATAGATGGAACTCTATCTCCTGGGAGCTGGTTGTGTGAAATAATGGAAAAGGTCGATGATGATACCCTAGGCCAGCTAGGATTCCTGCTATGGTTCATTTGGTTTGAAAGAAACAATCAATATTTTAACAATCTCAAGGC